GGCTGCGCCGGGCGGGCGTTGCTCAGGGGGCTCGGCCTGGGGTGGAGGTGTTAGCGCTGGCATGAAGCCTCCGGCTTGATGGTCGGGCCGAGAGAGCTCCTGGGACCCAGGGGAGCCGGAGCAGACCAGTCCGGAGAGCCGCCTCGCCTGGTGCCTGGAGAAGTGGGGTGGTTTGCTTTTGGCGTTGCCTTGCAGAACGCAGATGGTTTCTTGTCACTTCATCATTTTTGCCGTCTCCTGCGCGGTGTTGCTTAAATAAACCTTCTCTTCCCTGGCCCTCGCTACACTGCGTCGTTCCTAATGTGTCTGTATGTTGTCAGAAGTTGCAAATCGCACACAGCAGAAGGCTCTTGATGAGCCTGAAGAGCACTGGGGAGCGCTTGCAGGACGGATCTTCTAATTAGAAGACAGTTAAGTGACTGAGTGTTTTCAAAATGTCTCGGGTGATAATTTAGTTGTTAACTTTTTGCGCAACGCCAAACATCGTGTGGTTGCCATGTGAATTGTATATAATGCTCTCGCATGGTATGCTAAAAAGCTTGGGTTGAAGCTGTGTGCCACCGAGGAGGAGAAGTGCAGCTGAGACTTTGTGGCAGAGCCAAGCCTGTAGCTTTCAGTGTGGTGTTGCAGTTTTGAATATGCATTCCTGAGAGATGAAGGCTCAGAAGTAGTGTTGGTTCAGTATGTGAATTATTCCCATCTGAGTGGAAACTCTCAGTAAAATACAAGGCTTAAAAGGAGAGAGACATCTTCTCTGTCTGCAGGCACATTAGCCCCCCAGTCCAGAAGAAGGTGGTGATATCTTCTATAGAGATCTTAATTTCCATTTTCATGAAAAGTGACGATAGTAAATATGTTTGCCATGCCTGAGCATCGTGAGCCCAGGCTGTCTGAGGCACTGAAGAGTCTTTGCATGAGTGTTGGTCATCTTGCTCCGTTCCCTCATTGCTCTGTGGCATGCCAGAAGGACTGAGAGTCAATGAGCAGCAAAAATTTGGAAACTTGGATAAAACAAATAGGAACAATATGTGGGGTGAGAAACCAGGATGGAAACTACTGCCTCATGCTAATTTGGGACTTTGCATTACTTGTTGTAAACATTCACTGACATACCCACCCAAGTGCCCTTGCTGTGGTCAGGCCATTTATCTCACAGTAAAAATCTGTTGCTGGTGCCTTGAATGACTTGCAGCTGCAGTGGTTGTATAAAAGCAGTAAATGATTTCCTTGCATAGCGATGTCCTGTTACATTTTGATAAGCCTTCACAATTAAATATCATATATTTGATGAATGATGTGTTAAATAAAGGGAAATCAGGTAAATGCAGATTTTATATTCTGAAACTGGTTTATGCCAAAATAAAATTGGGCTTTTATTTGGTCATCAGCATTCCTAGAAAAAAAAAAAAAACTAAGATCCCATCAGTGTTTACATCAGTATTGCCATGTGGGACAGTTGATGATTCTTAATTAAGTTGGAGATTAGTGTATTTGAAGAATTACAAGAAGCAGAATCTTGTTGGAGGGAGTTACCAAGAGATAGTATAAAATGGGGATATAGTGGATGTGGGAAAATTACTATAGATTTCATCAAAGACAGAGACTTGGGCTGATCTCACTTGGTATTTTAGTTGATGACCTTGGCACACAAAATAGGATGCGGTAATGATGTTTGCTGATGATCCAAAGCTGAGAACCGTTTGCAGGGCCAAAGAGGACTGAGATACCCTACAAGAAAAATGGAGTGACGTTGAGTGTCCGAGTTAAGTAATACCCATGAGCTGAAATTCAGCATGCAAGGTTTCGGGCTGGTACCAAGGAACAAGGAGTTCAGTAATAGGAAAGAAGAGAGACTTCAATGTAGTAATGGATCACAGGATGTGAGCAACTGCTTTACGACAGTGCAAAAAGAAATTGTGATCTTCAGTGTGTAGAAGAGCTCATACAAAGAGAGACACAAAAGTGTGAACTTTGTACAAGGCTGTGAGAGCTGAACCTGGGATCATATGCATCAGCTCTGGTTGTGCATTGAAAGAAAAAAAAAAAAAAGGAGTGTGCAGACTTCAGGAAGTGCCAAGAGCTATTGAGATGGTGAAGTAAGTGGAGAGTCAAGAATTGAGCTTGTTTTCCTAGGAACGCTAAAACTAAGAAGGAACAAGACAAGTTTAAAAGCCCCTATTAGGTATGGTATTCCTGCAGAGTTTGTAATCGGGACCTACAGTCTTTGATGCTGTGTATTGAAAAGACTTTCCTGTAAATTCTGGGAATTCCTGTGATCACCTGGTGGGCAAAGTCCCCAAGGACAGAGGAGGCTCTCAGCTGAAATAGTGATGTATTTGTCACTCCTTGCTTTCTTTCCTGGAGGCTAAATGTATTATCCAAGCTCTACTGCAATGCCATCTGGAGGACGGGAAGAAAAAAATCTGGAGCACCTCCTTTTTGCTTGAGAGAAGCCTGTTGCAGTACCAGTGCCAGCCTTGATGCAGACATATTGGTCTTCAGTGTGAGTCAGGAAGCTAAGTCAGAGACCGTGGTTGCCCTCTTCCCCTCCCCACCCAAGATGTGTTTGTGATTACAAATAACGTGGAGAATCGGTCGTGTAGAAGAGGCCCATATTCTTGACTCTGCTGCCTCCCCAGACTGCCAGCAGGAAGTTATGTGTGAGCAGAACTTTCTTTTTTCCTTTTGTTTTGCCTCTTGGAACTTTTTCTGAGTGTTGGAGGATGCCACAGTGTAGCATCACATCTTCTGTGCAGTTACCTGTAGTATCTTAACTAGCCTGGATGCATTTAACGTCCCTTTTGGCTTTTGATCAGCAAAAGTGAATGCTGTGTCCTCTGTGCTACTGCTGTGTCTTCAGAGAGCATCCTCGGGATCTGCTGAAGCCAGGGAGGAAGGGGGACGGATGCGCTGGTTTGGCTCCCCTTGCACTCGCGTGGCCATAAGTAAGAGTTAACGAAAGCCGCCACCAGTTGGCAGTTTCAAATTTAAAAACAATGTCAGGGCTTTTTTTCTTAAGTTCCAAGTGGCTAAGCTGTCGATCAAAATGGTTGTTATACATGAGTGTGGCACCGAATCCATGTATAACAAGACTCTTGATGGACAGGTTTTTTTAAAAAGAGTTACTGGGATGGGAACTCTTCCATTCCTGTAGTGCTGGCGGAGTTGCTCACATAGGTTGCTACCTAGTGCATGGGAGCTCCGTTTTCCCTTCCCTCTCAGGTCATTTTGTGCCTGATTACAGTTACGGTTTGTAATAACGTATGGCAGCTTTCACAAAAGTGTGTTAATTCAGTAAGCATTTCTCCGCCTTAAGATTACTTCTCTGGTTTGTTGAGTTGTTTGCTTTTATCTGGGGTTGGATGCTCTGCAGGATTGCTGGAATTCTGACTCCATCCTGAAAAATATTTCTCAAATTTCACTTTCCAGTTGAGAAATGTTTTCTGGCGTCTCTTCAAGAAGGAAGACCTGTGAACCGCTGTGGCTGACTTGAAACTAAGGGCTGTGTTTACGTGCTTCTGAATTACATAATCTCCAGTTGTTGCTTAGAGGAGAGAAGCAATTTATTGTTATTGCAAAGCAAGCCTTTTCTCTATCTAATATCGGTTTCATTGCTTCACCTCTTCTTTGTGGTTTCACATTCCTAGCTGTCCCATCCCACTTGTTTCCTCCTCCTCTGTCTCCTAGTAGACAAAGCTATTTGTAAAACCTGTTTTCTTTGTAAGGCATTTTTGCAGCTGTGGTTGGTTCTGCTCTCAAATGGCTACTTGCCTCCTCAGAAAATTCAGAAAAATATAATAGCCATACTTTTAATCCAATCTCCAATTTATTTAAGAGAAATATATTTAATGTTTCTTATATCTGAATTTTTCACCCTTTTTTATTATTTTTCAGGGTTTGGGTATTTCCTAATTGAGGAAAGTCAAAATACTGATTGCAAGTGAATCCTCCTCAGTCAGCCTGTTGGATGTCTCTGAGAACATAAGTCATGGCAGAAAATGATGCAACGCCAACCTTACCAAAAAAGTGTGGCCCATACATTTCATCTGTAACCAGTCGTGGCATGAATTTGGTAATTCGTGGTATAGTGCTGTTTTTTATTGGCGTATTTCTTGCATTAGTATTAAACTTGCTTCAGATCCAGAGAAACGTTACTCTCTTCCCCCCTGATGTGATCACAAGCATCTTCTCCTCAGCTTGGTGGGTACCACCTTGCTGTGGCACGGCATCAGGTAAGTTTTTGTGTACGTACGCCTGGCGTGTGGAGATGAAAGGGTGGATAGGTAGTTATATAGTTACAAAAAACTATATGAAAGGTGTGGAAGATAAAAATTTCTCTTCAAGCATCACTACCCTTTCCGAGCTACGACTGTCCCAATCTCCCTGTATATATACAACATGCATGTGTGTGTCCAGAAATTGTTCTGCTAACTTGTTATACTGTAATATTGTTAGTAGAACATAACCTTTGCTTTTTCTCTGGGTTAGAGTACAAGTTTAACAGACTTTAGAAGGTGATGCCACTTGTAACTTTGAGGCTGGATTATAGGAGTGTGTGCTACAGACAGCCCTTGAATATACCCTGGAAGTACCAAATGGTAGAGCACACAGTACCTTGTTTTGAGCACAGCAAGCCACCCCGAGTAATTCTCCCTTTTGTGGTCCAGCTTTCCCTTTGTTCCTCATTCCAGTTCATGGTACCATTTTAGTTCCGTAAGGCTGGAAGACCTAAGTGTGTCTCAGGGAGTTGAAGCCAGGCATACAGCTTGCAGTTGTAGAGGCGCATTGCAGAACAGAGCACTTCAGATTCGTGTATCAAGTCGAATGATGTGAACATACTCCATTTCTCCTGTGACCATGTAGGGAGTTGAGGCTTTCGCATGTTTAGCTAGTTTAAGTGAGAAGTCTACTGTAGGTACTAAGAAATATCCCTTTTTCCTCTTCTTTCATCTTCAAGTGTCAAGACATATTCCATGATGGAATTTGGCTTTCTGCTTGGCTCTGAAGATTACTGATGCCGTGGGTCAGTTCTATGGTTTACTAAGGGAATATTCTTAGCAGCCAGTACTGGAGGATTCTGCTTTAGCAAACCTTTACGGTAAAGGCAGTATCTTTCTAGAGGTCAGTTTTAAGACCATTGAGAAGCTCATGTTTCTGGGTATTAATGTGAGTCAATAAACTAGCTTTTCAGTTGGCTGTTTTGCTAATGATCATATTTAAGTCTGGTTTTTTCCTAGTTGTCTAGTTGCTTTCTTTTTGATACCTTGTTGAAATACTACACCCCAGATGTTATAGAGGAGCTTGATTTAAAAGGAAACCCTCCATATATCTCTCTGAACTTACCCATTTTGTTGTACTGTGGAAATGCATTTGGTGTATTATGGTGGCAGTTACATACCTGCTTTATCTGCTAGTCCTCTTGGTCCTCTTTCTGTTATGCTGCTGAGACCGGATTAGTTACTGGATTGTATCCTGCATTTGCTGTATTTTTCTTCTATACTTGAAACTGATTGTCTTAACAAACATGTCTGGTAAAGGTTAGATCTTTTATATATGGAGTAGTGGAAGCTGAAATGACAGAATCCCAACTTGCAGCAGCAAGACAAAGTTTGCAGTGTTCACCATAACATTTGCACTGTCAACTGTTTGCATCAGGCTGCACCTTATGCTCTCCTGGGTTGGCTGAGAACACTCTCTGCAGCTGCATGTGGGGAAGTCGTGAAGGCTAGGTCTCACCATCCTCTCAGAAGAAACTTGTGGGCCTTTCTGCTTCTGATGGGTTAGTGGTTTTGATGGCAAGACTGGGTATGGCTTGTAAAGTGTAGTCAGTCACCTGTTAGGTATTTCCACTACTTGATTTTAAGCCACCTGATTTAAAAACGTAACTGCTTTAATTGGCTTTTCCAAGTAGGAGTGACCCCTGCTGAGGTGTTTGAGTTCTTACCAGTCTTTTCTTATCCATTTTCTTTCCTTATCCTCTCTGCTAGCATACATACAGGGAACCTCTGTGGTAGATGCTGATAACTCACCCATTTTCTTACCCTTCCTTCTTGGCACAGCCTTCCTGGAATCAGCATGAATATTTCTCTACAGTATGGTGTATTGTTATGAACAGAATAAAGGTATTTTGCATATTCCTAATCAGTGGTGACCGAGGCTGCTTTCAGAGAAGTTCTTTCATCCGTCACTGTTATTAGTCATCAGTTTGGCCCAATGCCTTTGGCAAGAAAATTGGTCAGGAGGTTGGTTTTTTTTTTTCCTCTCTAGCTTTACTGGTGATTTATTTTCCCGAATCCTGGAGATCAGTTTCCTCTCTGGCAGAATAAACAGCATTTGCCGTAACATACCTCCAACAGCATGCCAGACTGAGGGCACTGGAGTCCGTACCGATGACTCAGGCTCTGCCCCTCTCCTACAGCACCAGTTTGACATTAGGCACCAGTGTTATTCCTCAGCTGTGTTGGTAACAGTCTTTTCAGCTGCAATTGCAGTACAGAACAAATTTATGAAGAAATATTCAAAGAGCATAGCAGTTCCCTGGGGTTTGAAAGTCCTATTTGCTTTCTGTATTCGACAGCTACTGTAGGCTCTTGGCATTCCCTCTTCTGTGTGAGCCTTTATAGTAACACTGAAGAAGAGAAAAACATTATCCAAACAAAACCCCCTTGTAACAACAACAAAAGACACAAAATATCGATATTATAAACCATACTCTGCCCTTATTGTGGTGTGTTTGTTTTGCAGTTATTTAAACATGTATTTTTAAATAATGTGGGATTTCCAAAAGTGCTAGCCTGCAAGCTGTCACTGCTTTTTTTTGAACTATAGTGTGAGACTGCAGATTTTGGTAGGTTGCAGAGCTCTTTCATCCTCTGCCCCTCGTTCAGATTGTCTCTGTTTTGATACTTCTGCCAGGTCACTGCTGCAGTGGTTGAAGACGATGCTGAAGCTTTACAAGGATTTTTTAAATAATGAAATTGTTTGACATTCCTCTTCTTTTACAATGTATGTTTTGTACTATTTATCCTTAAAAAATCTGTTTTGGTAGTCACAATAATTGTTGAAGTCTAGATAGTCTTTATTTTAGTTAAATGTTGCCAGTGCTTTAACTTCTGGGCCTTTTTTCTTTCCTGTCTCCACAGCTGTGATTGGGTTATTGTACCCATGCATGGACAGACATCTGGGAGAGCCACATAAATTTAAGAGAGAATGGTCCAGTGTAATGCGATGTGTAGCTGTCTTTGTGGGAATAAATCATGCCAGCGCTGTATCCTGTATTGTAATGACATTGGCGGTAACAAATGGGTTTCCACTAAAACAAAGCTCACGTAGTCAGTCATGGTGAATTGTTGTTAAAGATATAACGTGCAGCATTTTTGCAAGGGAAATGCAGAATATGTGTTAGTGTTAAACTGTCATAGCAATATTGGAGGTGTAAGTCTCACGTCTTTCTGTTCTGAAAAGTATTTTTATTAGAATTGTCTCCGTATTGGGCTTTTGTCTTACTTACGGTCTTTATTTTCTTTGAATAATTAAAGTAAATGTGAGGAAATACTTATGTGGTACGTATTACAGCGCTTTTCTGTAAGACATTCCAAGGGTTGATGCCCTTTTAACACCGTAGTAAGAGGTTGAAGCCCAGTCTTGAGGTCATCAGTGAAGCCTGTGCAAAGAATGGGGAAAACTCAGGACTAGGTAATACCAGGACTACACAAAGCCAGTAAGTGTTGTTGTTACTTCATTCTGCAAATGATGCCTTGGTGCTGAGAGAGTAGTTACCATTCCTGTGGACATTCAGTAAGAGCAATTAGAAGTCAGTCAGCATGTTGCAGTACATTATACTAATTGTGCAGCTATTCAGATACATCCTTGTACAAGTGTGCTCAAACTGGCATCCCTCTGAAGCAGCTGGGGACATGCTGGGTGATAGGGTGGTTTTCACGTGGACTAACACTCCTTAGTGGCAGCGCTGTGAGTCTTAGCAGTTTTGTGTAGTCATGCCTAGTGCCTCCTCTGTCAGGTAAAACCAGGATCTGTCTGTGAAAACTGGGTTCTTGTAACCTAATTAGAAAGGAAGTTGATAATCTGGAACTTTCATCTCCTTTAGTGTCAGCTCCAACATGGTTTGTAGAAACCATGCTAAGAAGTTCTGATCGTATCCTACTGAATCCCCTCATTTCCAGGAAAAGAGGGCAAGTGAAAGATGTTGAGAGCTGGCTGAATTCTTGCTGAGGTGGCTTGGCCCTCAGATGGGTTTTGTTGCTGTTTGGTTTTGTTCCCACCAGCCATCCTATCCAGCATGGCTGGACGAGCTGGAGCTGCCAAGGTTCAGAGTCATTCCCCCTGTCCCTCAAAAACCTTGCTTTCCTTGCCAAAGATGCATTCATCTGGTCCTGTGGTTCTCGCCGACCTGGACCGTACCTGTTGTGTAAGCAACGCGCAACTTCACTGCTTTTAAGAAATACAAGAGAATTGATAGCTTCTCTCTGCATGGGTCAGATTATTTAAAGCAAACCTTCTTGCAGTTTTCTAACAGCTCTTACACACACTCTGGGACGTCATTAATGTACTGTCTGTATTTCCTCCTTGACAGCTCTCCAGACTGCTTGCTTTTCAGCTTATTAACAGTTCTGCACATTACCATATTCGGTGCATTTTTTCATCTTGTTTGACTTCCCACCCCCTCCCTCTGATGCTATTGATTTTTATCCTATAATTATTTATTTCAGTTAGTTGAACTTCTTTCTCATTTCCTCTAGGTCTCTCTCCAGGTCTTTGTGGGAAAATAGGGCAATGTTTTTATGTCATCATCCCATGAATTTGCTTTCAGGCTTATGAAACTTGACCGCGTCCTTTTTAATAATCTGTTTTGGACAGGAGTAGTGAGGATGAGTTAGTATTTCCAAAAGGTTTTGAAGAATGTGAAACACTACAAAGATATCTGCAGTGACTTCACACTTTTATCACAGAGTTGACTGATTTTGAATGTTGGTTTACAGGAATACTTTCACAGTAATATTACTTACATTTCATTCTATAGAAAACATTAACATTTTTAATGTTTAGCTGAATGTAAACTAGCATGAAAATTAAAATTGCAGTTAAGTAAAAGTGACAAATACCTTATTTCAGTAAATCCTTGTCATTTAGAGGAGTCTAATGCTAGATTTAAGATTTCATGCTTAGTGAAATAAAGGACTAGGTAAGGATGAGATGTGATGTCCTTACTCTGAACAGTAATATGTGCATTGGATGTCTGTATAAAATGCCGGCATTGTCTGGTAGGTGTATAGTGTCTTTGCTCTTGTACAGTGCTAAGACCCTATAAAATATGAAGAAGTGTCATAAGTTTTTTGTTTCCTGATAGATTGGCAACATCTACAGGGCCAGTTGTATCCTGGACTGCATCAAAAGAAGCGTGGCCAGCACGAGGGAGGGGATTCTCCCCCTCTGCTCTGGTGAGACCCTACCGGGAGTCCTGCATCCAGCTCTGGGGCCCCCAACATAAGAAGGACTTGGACCTGTTGGAGCGGGTCCAGAGAAGGCCACCAAAGTGATCAGAGGGGTGGAACACCTCTCCTGTGATTACAGGCCGAGAGAGGTGGGGTGGTCCAGCCTGGAGAAGAGAAGGCTCTGGGGAGACCTGCAGTAAGCAGCCTTCCAGTACCTAAAGGGAGCCTGCAAGAAAGCTGGAGAGGGCCTTTTTACAGGGGCATGTAGTGACAGGACAAGGAGTAACAGCTTTAAACTGAAAGAGGGTAGATTTAGATTAGATACAAAGAAGAAATCCTTCACTATGAGTGTGGTGAGGCACTGGAGCAGGTTTCCCAGAGAAGTTGTGGATACCCCATCCCTGGAAGTGTTCAAGGCCAGGTTGGATGGGGCTTTGAGCAGCATGGTCTGGTAGGTGTCCCTGCTTGTGGCAGGGGGCTTGGAGCTAGGTGACCTGGTCTTGGAGGTGTCCCTGCTTGTGGCAGGGGGCTTGGAGCTAGGTGACCTTTACGGTCTCTTCCAACCCAAACCATTCTATGATTCTATGATGATTTCCTTATATCTCATACCTGTGTGATAGCCGATACAGCTAGTGCTGTATTTTTTTTTTTGTATTCTTTTCTGTTGTGCCAAAATATGATAAACAGAATGAAAACTACTTTACACTTGTATATGATATTTCCAAGTTTACCCTTAACAATCAACACAGAAAGTGGATTTTGCCAACAATATCCAGCTGTCTCTCACGTTAGCAGCCCTGTCAATTGGACTGTGGTGGACATTTGATAGATCACGAAGTGGCTTTGGTCTTGGAATAGGAATTGCTTTCCTGGCCACATTGGTGTCACAACTTCTGGTCTACAATGGAGTTTATCAGTAAGTAATTATGCCTTTAACGTTAAGTGATAGTGTCCTGAAACTATAACATAAAATCAGAGTAAGTGAAAGGGTAGAATTTGATGTGACTTGCAAAGTTGCCAGCACTTAATTTTGAGTGTAAAATAAATTGGCCTGTTCGTGAAAGCTTTTATGTGTTTGTAAGTGAGTCTTATGGTTTGAAGTTGCTTATTTCAATAAAATTGCTACCTCACCAACAATGTAACATGCTGCTTTTAGTTGAACAAATGGGATTATAATCAATAGGAAGCCTCCTTTGTTATTTGCTGCAAGTAATTAAATTTCTCTAATATGTGTCTCTTTTGAGTTGAAATGTCCTAACATTTAAATTTGTGGATTTGTATCATGTGATTGGAGGACTCTATGTATTGCACAACACTGAGCTCAAAAATGTGTGTTCTTTTCCAGATACACGTCTCCAGATTTCCTTTATGTTCGTTCCTGGTTGCCGTGTATATTTTTTGCTGGTGGAATAACTATGGGCAATATTGGCAGGCAGCTGGCAATGGTAAGTTTGGAGGGAGGCTTGATTACCTTCTAGTAAAAGTTTTAATCTACATGTCATTCCTTCCTTCAAGTACACCATCCGGCTCTTCGACTTGGGGATGTGGAGTAAGGCAGAAATCGATAATCATTGCTTTTTGGTCTCGTTAGTGGGCTGTTAGTACTGTTATTCAGAGTACAGCCTGTGACTGCTCTGTACACTCTCAGTTGCATACTTTTAGTCCTTTCAGAACCAGCAGCTAAATAAGAGCTCCTGTGTTTGGGGAGAAGTCGGGCCATCTGCTAAGTCTGAACTGCTCTTTCTGCTGCTCAAGGAGACAGAAATTGCAGCCAACAGTGTGTGCAAAGAACTTAGGGAGACCAAACTTATCTGGGTGAAGTGTGAGATAAGTGATTTTGTAGAAAACCCCCTCTCATAGCAGCCCTTTTCATTAGTTATGTAAATTGATATTATTAATTTTGTCAACTTCTGTTTTTCAGTATGAATGCAAAGTCATTACAGAGAAGTCTCATGAGGACTGAAGAGAAACAATATGCACCTTTTAAATAGGAAAATACCTGACAAATGACTGTTGGAGGAACATAAGGAACACTTGACTATGGAATTGCCAAAATGCAATTTTTTTTCCCTTGAGTGGTATACTTTACTGCAATCTGTGATTGCTGCTTCTATAGAAACCTTGATGTCTGATTTTGATTACTGTGAAGTTACAATAGTATGCAATACATTTGACAATATTGGTTCAATTACAGGATTCTTTTTTCCAAATCTAAGCTGAGTTTACCGTAAGTTGTCTGTCCATAATGTTGCAGTGCCAAACTGAACCTTTGCACTATGTTTCTGTAGCTGAAATTTCTTCATTTTTAGCTTGAAAGTTTCGAGGAATTTGTTTTTAATAGCTCAGTGAAAGAGAGGGGATTCAAATTTAGGAATAAAGATCATCTTCTCTTTCCATGATGATAGCCTGTAATATCTTTATGAAGTTCATGGATTACAGGTGAGCTTTGATGCAATAAGTAACTGATTTCTGCCTATTAACACACTGCATCATTCTTCTTACTCACATCACAGGTGAGGAATCATAACAGGGATTGTATGGGTTACTGCTATGGCATTTCATTTGTCTGTGGTATGTGCCCAGTATCACAGAATACAGAAATGGAAACTGAGGCTGGAAATTATTTGCAATTTTTTTTCCCCTGGTACAGCTTCATATACATGTTTGTATATGAATTTGTGGCCCATCATCGGATGTGGACAGATTCTGAAACTATTTGTTTTGTTGAGTAACAGGATACAATTCAGGTCATTCTTGTACAATCCCTTAAGCTGACTTGTCTTGATCCCTTAGAAAAAAAAAATCGTAGGGAGTTTTTTATTGCAAAACTTAATTCTGCTGAAATAAATCAGCCACTACCATACAGTGTCATAAACTCTCCATTACCAATGTTACTCTTGATAGTTCTTGTCTACTACCTGTTCTGTTCGCAGGGATTGGCAGAAGGAGGCAAGGCAATATTTTAGGTACTGATGTCGCACTTACTGCTGTGACTATGGTCCAGGCAACCATAAATGCATTTGTTCTCATCGCAGTTTTCTGAGGGAGAGAAATACTGTTACCCCTATTTTACAGGTGCCTGTGCACAGAAAGTCTGGTAGGACAGGCTGCTGAAATAGGCTGTGTGCTAATTGGGTCCTTCCTTAAGAAGAAGGATTTTAGTGTGTGACCTATATTTGGGGGCATACATGGAATTTCCTGTTGGCTTTGCAGCTCCCTTTTAAGACCATGAGATAAAAGAACTTGGGCAAGAAAGCAGAAAGCAGACTTCAAAAGGACACTGCTAACCTGTGCCAGCAGTGAATTTGGCATGGGGTGTCTCCTCTTTGTTTTCCCCCCTTCTGTCTCTGTTGGTGATGTTTTAATGTATTCGTTTTCCTTTTTTTGTCTTGAAGTACTATTTTTTTAAATCTTCCATGAAAGGTTTATAAGACATGTTACAGTCACCTAGAGAGGCTGGAGTTGGTCCAAAGAACAGATAGAGTTTAGACAAGTTTTTATTAAAAAAATGTGTGTATGCATTGTACACGAAGCTTGGAATAGGCAACTCTCTTTTCAGACTTATCTCTAAGTCTGGAAAGCATGCAGTGAGGTTCTTCCAAAAGCGTTGTAATGAAAGAGATGGTCACAAAAGGAAAACTTCTTGAACGGGGAAGTGTAAAAATAATAAATAAGCAAATGATGTATGAAGAGCTTGGTTCTGCAGCTCCACAGAGTTTCATCAGCTTATCACGGTTCCATGACGATTCAACACCTGAAGCACACTTTCTTTGGGTAATGTTTCAGGAAGGCGCTTACAGATGCACTTTGCTTGAAGCAGAGGTAGAACATATTTAAGTAGATCCCTGACTAGAGATTTTAATCAAACCATATAGCAATAAGAAACGCTTTATTAATAAAACCAAGAAAACTGTTAGGACATGAACTAAGGGTGAGTTTCCTTAGGCAGGCTCTAACATTTCATTGAAGAAGCTCTTGGGTCCCTTTCCGTACAGTATTTGGCTTCATCTGCCTTCTTTACTTAAACAAATGGCTTCGGCTTGGTGGGCAGCATGATGAGTCCCTCTTGAATTACTGAGGCAGGAATGGCATAAAAATTCAGATGTTTCTTACCCAGCTGTAGGGAATAATGTGGTACCTCAGTACCCGGTGTGCTGACTTGGTGAACAGTTTACTTTCATGAGGACCAATAAGTGTATACAACTGGAGATGAGTAGTTTTTATTATTCATTTGGTGGTAGAATCGCTTTTACCTGCTGGTCTAAATATTTACACAGAAGCAGCCTTCTGTATGTTAAAGTGTGCAGTATGTGAGAAGTGGTTATTGTGCATCTGTAGCACCCACTTTACAACACTTTGCACTCAGATTCATCTAAACATGATTAGACTCTGCTCTCCACTGACTTCTTTTAAATTTCATTTTGGAAATTTTGAGCATGTTGTGCAAAGGCAGCAATCATCCAAAATAAATTCGGGTGGAGTCCTTTATTATATGTGTTTTATTGTTTTTATTCTTATTTGACTAAAGTCAATACGAGATTCACATCTTGGATGTTGTATTTTTTTCAAACTGCATTGTAATTTTATGGCTGCTGTGTTCAAACCCTGAAAAAGGTTCATGATGAGAATGCTGACACGGCCTTAACTGTAGTGGTGTGAACATGCTGCTACTGTATAGTCTGTAATTATAACGTTAGACTGTCTTAATGTTGTTCAATAGATAATGAATGAGGTATATTTTAGATACAACTTTATAAGCATTATAGCCTCCTCATTAAGCACTGTAAGGTCTATGCTGTTTAAACTGGCAAATTGCTGTTAAAAGCAAAGTGTGCATTAAATACAGTTACAACCTTGTTCAATAGGTTTCTTCTTTCTTCAAGAAATGATACTGATTTTTAAAATATGCTGAGTTGCCTTCTATCAGCAATCTCGTAATAATTTTGACCATTGAGCTGGCATATTGGTTGCACAAAACAGCTGGCTAGAAATAACTAAAAAAGAAGGCAGCAAGATCAAATCAGCAGTGATTCTATCATAATTAGCATGCTGAGCAGCCTTTGAAAATTTTCCCTTTTGAATCTGCAATGGGAATATCTGAGCTGGAGGAAAATAAGCCAGATAACTTGAGTTGCAATACAGAAAATAGAGATTTAGCTGTAAATAGCTATGAATATGAAAATAACACGAATGGCAGGGAATCCCATAGTACGGTGTTTGTATTTATTAATGTTCCGGTCTGGATATGAACTGAATGTTACTCTGCTATTCACAGACTGTCCATTTGCAGTGCCCATCACTGGCTCGATGTAACAAATAGAGGTTTAGAAGTGTGTAATGAAAAAGCCTCCAGGCAGAGTTGAAGAAAGGCTGGGGAGGAGGCTCATCAGTATGTGAGATGCAGTGCCCGTGAAGTCCCACAGCAGGACAGTACCACAGGTGAAAGTTGGAAAGAGCTGGGGGGAGGCAAATGGAAAAGACCCGTGTTTTGTGTTGGATGGGGCAACCTGTGCCCCTGGAGTATTGTGTCCAGTTCTGGGCTCTTCAGTTCAAGAGAGACGGGGGACTTCTGGAGGGAGTCCCAATGGAGGACTACAAGGATGATTAAGGGACGGGAACATCTCTCGTAGGGGGAAAGGCTGAGAGACCTGGGGCTGTTTAGTCTGGAGAAGAGAAGGCTGAGAGGGGACCTTATCAATGTCTGTAAATCTCTGAAGGGTGGCTGTCAGGAGGATGGAGCCAGTCTCTTTTCAGTAGTGCCCAGTGACAGGACAAGGGGCAACAGGCATAAACTGCAGCGCAGGAAGTTCCACCTCAACACGAGGAAAAACTTCTTTACTGTGAAGGTGACGGAGCACTGGAACAGGCTGCCCAGATGAAGTCTCCTTCTCTGGAGACCTTCCAAACCCGACTGGACGTGTTCCTGTGCAGCCTGCCCTGGGTGACCCTGCCTTGGCAGGGGGGTTGGACCAGATGATCTTCATGCGGCCCTTCCAAACCCTACCATTCTGTGATTCTGTGACCCAAAAATCCTAACTCTGCTGTCAAAATGCAGAGTCCTGGGCATGCCAAGCATCTGGCCAGGGAGATTACAGCCAAGGATGGGAATAACTATCATTTTACTTGCTCATAGCACTAAGTTCAGTCAAAAGCACCCTGGCAAAGCTGCTTTGCTGCAGAGTTTACCTTTCCATCTGTAGCCTCTCTATCGGCACGTCGCCCCAGGGAATGGAAACTCCAGGCCCAAGTTCAGCCGGAAGGTGTCGGATGGAAGTTGCCCCTTTTGGAGAGAACGTTCCAACGGCCGGGCTGCCAGGCTCTTGTGAAACACATCTTGTGCCTCCCTTTTCAACGTGGCTGCTGTAAGCTGCTAGAAGGAGAGTAAACAAAGAAATTTTTCCTCCGTAGCTTCTGTACTCCCACCATCTGGCTGGGAGCTGCCGTGGGGACCTATGGGCATACACCAGCCTTCCCTTTTTCTCTCTCCCAGTACATAAGGAAGGGACATAATTTTACCAGCTGCGTCACCCTGGACATTTTGCATATGCTTTTTACACTTTGGAGTAGCGTTACCAATAATTTCTAATGGTAACAGATGAATATAACCTGTGAAAGTGATGTTAAATATCGAATACAATACAGCTGGGCAGAGGGAACGCGTGCCTCGTGGTGGGAATAGCTACTTAACGCTGCTAGTTTTGATGCCGGTACATAATGCAAAGCATGAGTAATTTTGCAGCTTAATGTTCAGTACTAAAGAGTAAATGAAAGGTCACTCCAACATGTTAACTGTCACGGAATAGTAAACACTACTTTAATTGCTTCATGCAGCCAGCTTGGATTTTTGGTGTGTCTGTTGTCATGTTTTGAGCAGCACGGTCCAGAGCTGTGCCCTGATTACCTCCTCCCGGTCAAATGACAAAGCCTCAAATTAAAGGAGATAAACTTTACGCCTGGGCTTCTCGGGCAGCATACTGGGAGTTTGTACTTCGAATGCTCAAAAGCCATGCTGGGGAAGAGGTAGGGGTCATTTCTTGATCTGACTGGAGCCGAAATCCGGGTTGAAATGGAGTTTTGCATTCTCTTGCGCTTTTCCTTTCGTGCTCTTCATTTCTGAAGCACAGAGGTTTAGCAGCTCCTGTTGCGCTTTCACAGTTAACTTAGGTTTTTAGCCTGCCCAGCACTCCAGCAGAGACGAAACAACACAGGCGGATAAAAAAGACTATAAAGAGAAAGGGGCTACTAGTCCGTTTCCCCAGGCCAAGCCAACTGAGCGCTCAGGGCGGTCCAGTGTGCCACGTACATTGGTGTCAGGCACACAACCTGCAACGTCCCCAGGGCGAAGTTGGTAGGATTGGCTTTTTGCGCTGGCAGCAGTCCTGCCTTGACTTCTGCACTTAAAAACCTCTATGTGGGGTGACCTGTTGCATTGTAGTTATGCAGGGGTATGTGTACACGTTGCAGAGTGTTCGCAATGGCA